ATGGAAGACAATTGAGGATACATTGTCAATTTTCGTACCCAAACCTAAGCTGACTTAATTCTCTTTCATTGTGGAGTAGTTATAGTGCTGTACTGTAGTTCATTTAAGTCGACAACAACAGTAAGGTAGCATATTGTGTACACACTTGTACAGTTTGGTCTAAGCCGCCTGCTGACCGGCTTATTGCAGGGCGGCTTACTGATTTCAAGCCCTTTTCTACAGGTACTAACCAGCTATAGTTCATCAGTTATAGTTAACACACTTCAGTGGCGTCATTATGAGTATTAATATTTCTTGTGAGAGGTGATGATGATCATAGGTGTACAAAATACGGGAATACCGCCGGGAATTTTTCCTGCCTGAATACGGGAACCGTGAATATGGTCGGAAAAATTCCTTAATTGATTCCGTTCCCGTTCCTGCCTAAAATACGATGTCGGTTTCTCGTTTCCTGTTTTTCGGTCGGTACGGGAATTTCCCATCCCGTTTTCATCCATAGGAAACACGTGACGTTCCAGGACCTAGAGCCCGTGCGCGAGGACGTCGAGGCCGCATAGGTCGGCAGCGCAGCGCACGGCTGGCAATGGCAGCGGTGTTGAGCATCCGGTTGGAGCGCAACATCTCTACGGCCCCCGTCGTGTCCTCGACGGGTTCGTGGTCGACCCCGAGCGCCGGCACCACGTACTGCGGGGACGACGCCGACGAGGCTCGACTTCGAGGCGCACCACGCCGTCGAGGGCGCGGAGCTCTCCGTGTCTATGGCCGCGGCGAAGACGACAAGCACGTGGCGAGCACTGCGCGTCGCCATGGTCGGTAGCACGGCGCACCGCGGCGTATCCGAGCTCATCCCCTTCCCTGGGTGCGTGGTGATGGTTGAAGGTTGAAGGAGAATCTGACTTTGTGGGGCCTGCGTGTCAGTGATGGGGAGGGAGGGGGGAGAATATAGAAGCCAGTGGCAGGAGTGGTCATTTTACCTGAGGCTGCTGACTCGGATTTAAGTTGGACCGTGGTGCTGGTATGCCACATGAGTAAAAGTGATAAATGTGTATCGATTTTCTCCGTCTACTGCTAAAACCGTATCATCAATCCTTATTATAATAGTAAAAATTAAATATATGACCTGAGAAAAGAACACGCCCAGCCACAAACCGGGGCAGATTCATTTTTTTCGGTGCCTGAGCCCAGAGCAGACAGAAACTGTCGGATCGCTCCCAGATCCCAAGGCAGAGGCATCGTCTTGTCTTGTCCCAGAGCCTAGCCTCGCGTTGCGCCGTTGCTTGCCTGCTTGACTGTGACTGGCTCCAACCTCCATTGCCGGCAGTTGTCACGGGGTCAGGTCAACCCTTTCTGCTGGATGGTCCGCACGCGCCCAGGTCAATGTCAATTATCCCGGCCTGCGCTTGCCAAGGACTTGAAACACGGCTGATGATAGGGAGATCCCCACGCGCACGCCTCAACACTCTCAGAGCCAGAGCCGGCTGGATCACCATCAGCTAGGCTGCTAGATGCTCCTAGCGGTCTCACCTGGCTAGCTACTGATCGAGACTGGCTGTCCGTTTCAGAGTTTGTTCTCTCTTTTTCTTTTCTTTGCAGATCCACTGCTCTCTCTTGTCCTCCTTTTAATCATAACCCACGCTGTCATCTGCAGAAAATCGGCTCTCTGTTTTGTTTGGCTTTTGGAAGCAAAAGAGTCGTTAACTAGCTCGACGCCGAGAGCTGAAAGATTTTCCCTGGTTTCGGTCGGTTTTATTTCACGGTCCAGATACACATCCTCCATGCTTCATGAAAGATGTTGCTTGGCAATTGGCCACACCTTTTTCTCGCGGTGAAGACCTTCAGACCTGCGGCTCTTGAAATTGAAATCAAAGAGGAGATTTTGGTCCCCCAGGCTCCATGTAGAAAAAGAGGTCCCCCGTTGATCAAACATGGAATCCACGGCGGCTGACATGGGGGTTTGGAATGCCTTGGCATGGCAGTCGAGATTCTTGAGGCGGCGGCGCCGTCGAAAGCTTGAATCCAAAGGAGAAAATTTTTCAGTTTCAGCATGCAGCACGGCAGATCACTCTAGACTTGCTCTCGTCGTACGAATTCATAAAGCATTTTTTTTTGGGTTCTCTGATGAAGATCTGTCACTGCCTGGTACTAGTATATTATATTACTTATTAAGAGGAAAACAAGGAACCAATTTATATAAATTATTAAGAGGAAAGCGTTGAACCAAATGCTGAATTCGGAAAGGCTTGGCACTCAAGATCTGGGCATCGCCGTGAAACTTTTTTTCTGGATCAAAAGTGGAACGAAAGCGGAGTGAATGTGATCCGGTCGCCAGCGTTCACAAAGACGAGAGAATTTGATTCCCTGCAGGTTGTCGAATCAAGTCGTACGCACATAGACAACTTAAGGAGAGCTGCACACACGATTTGGGCTGCTCGGTGCTCGCTGATGATGAGAATTCAGAAAGAGAACGGAAACTGCATGCCGTGCCTTCCCACTGAAGATTTGGGCTTTCGCCATGACTCGCCTGCTTCAATCAAATTAAACACGCGCCGTCTCTAGCCAGAGTGGCTGAGTCTGACTGGGTTAGCGATGCGGCGACGATGATGCAGGTTCGCAGAACTGCAGTCTTTGCCTGCCCAAAAAATGTGGGCTTTGTTTTACTTCATTCAGGATTAATTTGAATCCGTGGTGTCACCGTGTGAACATCCATCAGCAAACTGGCGTTGCCACTGACAGGGACGCTCTCAGCTGATAGGCCGCGATAAATCTGGACCCGGTCGCAACCAGCGGTTTCCGCAATATAAAACTAGGTGTTTGAAATTTTGAATTCGAATCACGTACACGGCAAGTAGGCAATGGCAACATCTGGGCGGGTGCCTGGCCGGCGCGGCGTGACCCACGTCAACCTTTTCTGCCTGGCTGACCCTCTCAGACCGGGGGGTATTGTTTGTGTCTCAGCTCGACCGGCTCAGCTAAACCAACCCGGTTGCCGGTTGGTAGCCCTTTCGTCGTAAATAAAGGTACATCTATATTATACTATATACGTGTATACGACGGCTTCTTGTTCCACTATACCTTTTCACCTCTTTTTATGACATATACTTTTATTTATTAACCTAGTTATTATTATTATATTACTACAATATAATGAGTAACACCACGTGTGTACCTCCCATACTTGGGCATACAAACGGGGTCAACCAATCGTACATTATATTAAAAAAACAGCAGAAAGACTGCCAAACATGCATATTAATAAGGGTAAAGTACACTTTACAACCCTGAACTTGCGTCAAAGTATGATTTTCAACCTTCAACTATGAAACCGGTTTTTTGTCCGGACAACTTTGGACGGTTTCAAATGCGATTTTTATTTTGGGAATTTTTGAGAAATTTTAAAATTTTTTTTATGCAAAATTAATCAAAATTAAAACTATAAAGTTGTAGATCTCATTGAGGTCTACAATTTATATAAAATTATCTTCATCCGATAGTATTGAAAGGTTTTCTATTTTTGAAATTTGAGTCTCATCATTATGGTGCTGAAATTTTTTTATATTTTTAATAAACCAAACTCAAATGAAAAAATATAAAAAACTATAAAGTTGTAGATCGATGAAAGATTTTTATATAAAAATTATTTACATCTACAAAATTTTTGAATTTGAGAACGTTAAGATGCTCAAGTGGTCGAAAAATTGCCTCCCAAAAATAAAACCGCTTTTCAAACGTCTTACAATTTGGGATGGAGTTGGAAAGTTTACATTATATTAAAAAAACAGCAGAAGGGCTGCCAAACATGCATATTAATAATAGGAAGAGGATATAAAAACATTTTTAAAAATAATCATACAGGTGGGAATGGATTGAGATTCAAGTCAAATAAAGAAGTTCAATTGAAATCCAAAAAGTAAAACACAATGTCCAAGTCCAATGTGAAGTATAATATCCAAAATGCAAGTTAGTTTAGTTATAAAAATTCAAATTAGCACAGTGAAACTAATCCAATTATCCGATTAATTCAAAATCCAAAGATACCTATTAAATCTATATCTAATATTAATATTAAAGGCAATAAATTTATTTCGGTCTCGGTTAGAATCACGAACATTTGCTGGGACTAGTACTACACCACTTGTGTCGTGGCTTAGCAGTCTCCGTGCTCCGCAAGCGCTTGCGTGTGGCTCTTCTTCCATTTTTCTTAACTATACAATAATACACCTACACGCAGTACACACTCATTTAAGCTGAGTCAGTCTCCAGGCAATTTTCTACATGAGATTAAACATTTATTGCACCTAGCATTTTACTGTGGGTTTTGAATTTGTTTGTTTCGGTCGAAATAAGATTGGATCGGGTGTAGTTAAATCCAATAGAGACAAATAGCTTATTATCATTGGCAGAAATTGATCTAGATGATCTCGTAGTAAGCTGTATGTTCCATTGTAATGCGTGGCCTAGTACTCTGTATCATTATTATATGATGTATAGTAAAATGGAACGGAGTGAGTATAATTTAAGAGAGTATGTGAATAACTCAAATCCATTTGTGCCCACCTCTAAACCAACCGTCGAAGTCGAACCGTATAAAAAAGATTGGGTGCGTGGCAACTGGCAGCTAGGTTCGGCCGCACCCGACCGGGCGCCGGCCGGTCAGAGACCTGCTTTCGTTCCGGGTCAACCCAATGAAACGAAACACGGGTCAAGGATTGTTCGACACGAGCGCCATGTCCCAATCACCTGACATTCCTATCGACGGTCTCACACGTTGACTACTTTTGCCCGGTCCCTCCTATAAATATATAAAATACACACACACGCCCCAAGCCTTGAAGCAAATCAGAGAGAGAGAGAGAGAGTCAGAGACTGCTGCGGCGAGCTGTCGACGACGATTGCCATTCGTCTCTCATCATCACTCTCAGACGACACAACTGCCTGCGCGCGGCGGTCACGACCCGAGACACTCTCCTCCCAGATCGACATCATCTCTACAGTCGTCGAGCATGAACTGGAAGCGCAAGAGCTCCGGAAGGTGCAGGGAGGAAGAGACGCGGGAGCGGCTGATCCAGCATGCGGCGTCTGATCCGGACGGCGGCCGCCGCAGCTGCAAGGGGTGCTGCGTGCCGCGGGGCTGCGTGGCGGTGCTGGTCGGCGGCGGGGACGCGGAGCCGGAGGAGCGGGTGGTGGTCGACGTGCGCGCGCTGGGGCAGCCCTGCGTGCGGGCGCTGCTGGACATGGCGGCGCGGGAGTTCGGGTACGACCAGAAGGGCGTGCTGCGGATCCCCTGCGCCGCCGACGAGTTCCGCCGCGCCGTCGCCGCCGACAGCCACCGGTGCAGGCGATAGAAGAAAACCACGGCACTTGGTGGTGGTGTATGTACGGGCAAAGGTGACAAGGTGCCAATGATCGATCAACGCTCCTTTATTTACACAGATCGATCTGTCATGCTCATGCATAGAGACGAACGACGTAGCTAGTAGAGGGTACATAGAACAGGCTGCATGTGTGCGTGCTCTAATTTAGTAATTAGGAGTAGCTTGGTTCTGAGTTTGCAGGTAGTGTTGAAATCTTTTCCCCGCTTTGAGTTTGCATGTGTGCAAATTAACTTGAGACAGTTAGTTTGTTTTAATTTCTTGTCATCGTCAACCAAAAAAAAGAGGCTGATTAATTCAATATCCGGTGGTGTCTGATCCCTTGGCGTCAGCTTAAACGCTTCCGACTGATCATTTCAACATTTCATGCAGGCTGCGCTGCGCCGTTATCATAGTAAATTCCACGACGTCGTCGTTGGTTGCCCACACCCGTGTTACGCCGCCGCCGCGGGCGCGCGTTCCGTGTCTGCCTTCCTCTCGCTCTGTGCCGCCGGCCGGCAAATTAAGATTGCCCATTCCATTCTCCACATTTGCGCTGCGTGCGTACGTAACAGCAAGCTGCACGTACGTGCCGCGGCGCCGGCCGGCGCCTACTAGCTACGCCAAATTTCAGCGCGCGGTGGACGACGCGTCGTCGTTGTCGATTTGGCTCCCGTGTCCGGTGTGCCGAGACCGCACGCCGGAAACCTGCAGGGTCGTCGTCGTCGTGGTGCGCGCGTGCAAGGATGTCGGCGTCGGCGTCGGCATCGGCACGCTCACTCGGCGGCAAGTAGTGCCGTTCGCACGGCGCCGGCTTCCGGCCGGATTCCCCTGCGCTCCATGACGACGGCGTGGTGGTGAAGACACTGTATGTAAGCGTGTTTCTGTGGACGTTGGCCGCGCACCGGCCGCCTGTTTGAGCGCAGACACACCATTCGCCGATGGGGACTGATCGACATCCTCACGTACGCACGAGTGAGCAAGCTTATATGCAGTTATTCTTATCCTTAAGTACTAGTAGCGGGGCTACGCATTGGGCAATAATGCATCATGCATATCGCAATCATCCATGCATGCATGCGCATTCTTCAACCAATCTAGCTGTGTGCCTGTGTCGTTGGACTGTTATCGAATCAGCAGGAATATTATGTATTGTATCACAAGAAAGGGTAACAGTCACGATCGAGTGTATACGTGGCGACCGATAGATGCATTAGGCATACGTGTACGTACACGTTCTTCTCGATCTCTACTAAAAATTGTTTTACCGCGTGAATGGTTGCAGCTAATTAGGTTGCAGCTAATTAATTAATTTGAGGGAGATAATGGAAGTTGTATACTAACCAACCATGTATAGATAATATAAGTATTTCTAAATATTTATTACAATTTATGTCTAAATATAAGCATGGGCGGACCCAGGGCTCATTCACGAGCAGCGCAGAGCCGCAGACAGCAAACTAGCACACACGTAGCCAGAAAGACATGCATCAGCCTTTACCCTTTTGGCTTACTATACTCGCTGCATGATAGAACATTAATTCACAAGAACGACCGCATTACGGTTCCCTCCCAAATTTCTAAAACTTTTGAATACGTTTTCAGTTCCAGAGCAATAATTCTTAATGTACCCTCGTTCAAATGAGTACTTAAAATTGATTTTAGAGAAATTTATTAACAAAACTACTTATGTTGGGCCTGTTCGCTTGGAGGAATTCTGGATGAATTTGGATGGTTTGGAGGAATGCTGGAGGAATTTGTGAGAGAAAAATACTGTTCGAATAAAAAAAAAGAAGCGAATCAAAGCCGGGTTTAAGGGCACGCGAACGGGACCGTTATCGATTTTGCTTCTATTAGTAGTTGATATGTTTACGCAAACTTGGTATTAGTTGTCATGTTCGTCCAGACTCTAGAAAATCTCTAGGTTCCGAAATAAAAAAAAGAAGCGAATTAAGTCGGGTTTAAGGGCATGTGAACGGACCGTTATCGATTTTGCTTCTATTAGTAGTTGATACGTTTACGCAAACTTGGTATTAGTTGTCATGTTCGTCCAGACTCTAGAAAATCTCTAGGTCCGCCACTGAATATAAGCATTTTTTTACAGCAAGAGCAGGCCTCGCTTTGTCAGAGGCTAGCAAAGTTTTTTTTTCCCTTGCCAGCACAGGTCCAAAGAGAGCTCGTCTGTCAAGGAAACGTGTGGCTCTCTGCTGGTAGATTATCGTTGGTCAAGACAAGGCAAAGATTTGCTAGAGGATTATTCAAGCACCCGACATTAAATTATCTCGTAATCTCTCCGCTGACAGCCAACGCAAAGATGACGTGGTCGTTTTAATGAGAGGCGTCAATCTTTTTATTTACACTTGTTAATATGTTCCAAAAAAATAAGAATGCTAATGTATATTTGTCGGCGTAAAAACGTGTCGATGCGCCGAGCTCACAGCAAGCCGGAAGGATCTGCTTGATGGAACAAGACTGGAGATCCGCTTGGCTTCAACGCAGGGCTAACCGATCATGCGAATTCCTCCCGAGGCGTGCCAGTCAATTTGACCTGCAATTGACAAGGAGAGAAAGTTTATCAGTAATTTTAAGGTGGAACATGCCGGTCTTCGCCCAGACAGTTCCAAGTGTGCCGCTTCGGGAGCAGTCAGACGAGAAAAATTGACTAAACGGCCGATACGCGAAGAAATCGGCTGTTTACGGACTGTAAAGCTCGTTGGTCGTGATTGGTTTTTTTTTACAAGTACAATGACCGCAAATGTAAGTAAAATCGCCAACTATGTGAGTATTACTAGTGTAAAGCATTGAGCCAATGAATCTAACGAGAAATGATATAACACGCGAACAAATCGACTGTCTAGTATGAATGGATCTACAAACGCTCTTAATCTAATCTGTTACCATCAACAGTGAGGTTCGACCGGATCGATGACAGCTATGATGATAATAACAGATCAAAACCGAAGAATCCGTAAAACCATCTATACATTGATAGGCTTTCCGAAAGACATGCTATATGTGTGAAAGCTCAAGCGGACCGGCTGAAATAGCTGATTCAGGTGAAAAAATGACTACAACGTATAAACAATCGACTATTTAATATGGACAAACCTATGAACTTATCAGACTTAACCTGCTATCTCTAACAGTGGGGTTCGATCGGATCGATGACAGCCGTGATAAAGACAATAAATCAAACATTTAAAGTGAACAAATCTATTCACGTTTAACAGAATCATGAAGACACACTGTAGGCGTTAAAGCAAAGGCGATCGGCTATTTAGCCGATGCAGGCATACCAAACAGCTAAGGTCACGCTTAGTCAAAAGTAAATCTACCAACTAGCATCCTCCAATTTAAAGTGCCATCAGTGGGGATCGACCGGATCGTTATAGCCATAATAGCGAACTATAGACCAGATTTAACTAGCCAGCAAACCTTCTCGAGATCATACATGCCTTAACCGCGTACTATGCACGATCAAGATCAAAATAGAACAGCCGATGAAACATAACCCGTCGATCAACGTAAGAAACATCGTATTGTAACAAAAGCAAACGACGGACTAAAAGGATATGAGACCGATCTAGATTGATATCGACCGGGCAGGTTGATGTTGCTGAAAACTAATCAAAATAAGAAACATCAGTAAGATCGGTAACTTAATGAATCTACCGAATGACGCCACCCTTAGGTAGAGCCGATAACTTAACCTTAATCTAATTCGAGCAGTGGAGGTCGAACTTAACCGATGCAGCCGTACTTAAACTAGATAAGAGTCGATAACTAGCTTATACTAGAGTTCGCAGTGGAGGTCGAACTTAACCGATGCAGCCATACAAACAAAAGTATAAGCCATAACGGTACTTACAGACAAGCCGGAGGTCGGCCGGACCGATGCAGCCCTACTTGTTGAAGAACTCGCCAAAATCTACACTACTCCTACTCCTAAGGGTTGGCGTAAAGCCAAAAAAATAACTTGTATTGATTGATTGGATTGATGTCTTTTTACAATAATCGGGGTCCAATATTTATACCCGAAGCCTAAACATGAATCCTGCTTAAGTACAACTCATTATAATCTTTAGTATAAAAAAACATTCCTAACTTAAAATAACTTGGACCCTAATTTTTTCTTTTTTAAAGTCCGACATGTATTTTCTGACGCCAACCGTAGTTCATCGTCGTTATCTGCTGACGTCATTCAAAGAGAGCCGATTCCAGTGCCGCATCTGAATCAGCAGATATCGACCCTTATGCAATCGATTCCTTGATGACATAATCTTGAAACATTCGAGTTTCCGTGTTCTTTTTCCCAAATTTTGGTGTAAACAATACTATACATAGACAAATGAAGTATAATGACAGGATATTCTCTACGTCCTAAAAAGAATATCACATTCTGTTTTGATATGCGAGATATACACTTATTTTAGAATATGTGCTATGTATGAAGTCGGCCAGAGAGGATTAATTCGCTATATGGCCACGAGTCCACGACACGATGGCTACTTCCCCGGTTTGCCGTGGCGAAGCAGGCAGAGGCAGGCATGGAAATTCAGATCTGGCGTCAGTAATAAAATCAATAATCATTGACACCGTTCCTGGCCTAATGAATAATTATTGGCGCTGGCGTTTACGAGAAGCAGGAGATGATTTAGACAGGTCGGTCTCGGTCGCACCCCGAGCCTTGACAAAATATTCTAGGCTTTTCTAGATAGCCCGGCCGGAGTTTTGATAAGTAGTTCACACCCTGATTATTCTGTCACGTAATATTATACAAAGGGTGGTTTGTCCTACCCAATGCAATTCTCAACCCAAAATGCTTGCAAGTCACGGACGATGAGATCACTGAGAAGTGAGAACAATAACGTATTCTTAATTGTACGTTTTTTAAATAAACCGTTCTTGACTTGACGAGCTGACTCCGGCCAGGAGACTCAGACACTCGGTGCTGGTATAATACCCGAAGCGTCGAATCAAAACATTCAGACACA